TACATACGAAGAGAAGACGTCCACCTACTCCTCTACACCAGTCTGGTTCACTCTGACCATTTTACGTCGATTCAGATAAAAGAGAGGAGCCCACAAAAGATTTTTATACAACACACCACTCAAATAAAAAGGAAGTTTCAAAACGGCAAGTGAGAGACCATACCAACTGTCCTCGTAGTAAACACCAAATGTGTCTGACATTCATACACACACGTCCTTACCAACGTGGTTAAACACAAACCTCCTTTTCATTTTCATATTGGTTGTCCAGTAGTAACACAAAGAGGTGTCGTAAATACTTGCAACTTCGTTAGAAAACATACGTCTTAGAAGCCAGATGTATATTTTCTACTCACGAACACTCGCATTGCCTCGTGGTCGTCACACATCAACCAACTGGTTTCACAGAACACGATATTCACTTCACACAACGGTCAACCACGTTTGCAACCAAAACCATAACATACATCAATCAACTCCCACGTCACGCAAGTAACACACAGGATATACTATCACAAAACGTGACCAGACCCCACACACCCAAACACCTTAAACCCCACCATTTCACAAAAACCTGTTTCTCGGGACAACAGTTTTACACGACAAAATCGGTTAAACTTTTTTTTGACATTTATAACTAGCGAAATACACTCTAAAAAGCACACAATCGTTGACTTTTTGACATTTTGAAAGGGTGCTTTTATAAACTGAGAAGACTACTGCACTAATAACAATCGTAGCCAAATCTAAGGTCTTAATTTAACACCTTTTTAACAAGTTTAGTATGTCTCTCATCGTACCACTTATAAAATTTCTCAAGCTTAAGGTAGAAGTTGTTATTTCTACTTTTTCCAATCAGACTATAAATTTTTTGGTTGGTGTGTGATAACGACGTCCGCATAACTAGAAATATTTCACCCTGGATAGTACGATATACCAAACTTATTCAGTATCACATCTTTCCCGCTCGAACTGGAACACGCGCCACCCCATACAATTCCGCGTCACAAAACACTAAATATACAACTAAAAGTATATATAAACTATGGTCTTCAAAGAGAATACAAATATAACGTAAAATCGGCCCGTCAAGGAGTAAGCACGCGACGCTTCCACCCCATCCTCGTCGACAGACAAAAAAAACAAGAGTAACACACAACGCTCACAGAGACACTCTTGTCGTGGTGGATGTCCGGACACTTACAGTAATGTAGCAAAGCGTCGCGAAAGCTTGCCCGTTACAGGCACGCCCCCTCTCTCCGACAGAGGAGGACTCTTAACTACGCTCAACCCGCTGGGTTATCGGCATCCGCTCGTGCGCTGCATAGACACTGCAGTTGTACTCTCTCTCACAAGTCTAGACCATAGAGAGTCAGCACATAGTCCCTCGTCACTGCTCCTCCACGACAACGCGGGGAAAAATCTTCTCTAACTCTCCTCGACCCCACCTTTCTCGACAATTCAGCCCACTCCGCGCTGCTCTCACCTCACACCCCACCACACAGGAGCGTCCTCCTCCAGGACGCCTCCACTACCAGTGGGTCCTTAAACCACGACGAGTGAGCGAGGGTGTCGTAGGTGGACTACACAGTCACCCACCCCAACAACACCCCACATCCCAAGCAGGACCTCGTCAGCCTGTTGGTGAGGGACAGAAAGGCGGGTAGTAATGTCCTTCTCTAACACCCATAATTGACGTGTGAGACCTCGCGGACTAAGACTACGTTATGTGGTGCAACTACTCCACCTCTTCAGTCAGCGACGTCCCGCCCTGACGGTCAAACAGCTTCAACGGTTATGCTGCAAATAACTCTTCAACTGACTTCAGTTCATCCTCCCTGTCTCTTATCCTCCCTCTACCTCTTCCTCTTGCTGCTGTCCATATATCCATTGTTGTTTTTATAAATGTCTTACATGAAGCCTGTTTCTAGTGCTGACATCCTGGGTGATGAGTCATGAGTTCATGTGTGTAGCATTTTTAATGGCAATGTTTTGAAAATGGCAGACAAGTGAATATGTCAGATTTCTGTGTCTTACTTAGAGAACCGTGTGCAGTGTTTTGAAAAAAGTGCCAAGTTGATTTGAAAATTGGGTGCAGAGCTGAAAATGTGTTCAGAGTTTTGTAGATTTGAGCTGAGGTTTTGCTCTTTGAGTGTGAGTTTAAATAATTATGCTTTATGTGAGATTGTTGTGTGTTAGCAACTGAAAGAAAATGTAAGTTCAATGGTATGTAGTTGGTTGGACAAAGTGTCTTGTACTATAAATGAAGTGAGTGCCATTTGGTGTAAAAGTTGGGTTTTGATATGTGTTTATCTCGTTTTGGGTGCAGTTAGTCATTCTGCAGGATGTATGAAGTGTGTTGCACTTTGGGTGTAAGTGTTTTGAGAAAATGAGCCGTGTTTTCAAAAACTTGTGTTAGCAATTGAGAAACATTGTAAAGTGAGATGATGCTGATATTTCAACTTTGCATACTACCCTACAAATGACAGTGTGCCACATTTCTTGGAAAAATGTTTTAGTTCTTAGTACAACTTGTGCGTTACATGTATTTACCGAATTTCAAAGTGAATGATTGACAATGGATTGATTACATTGCTCAACAAGTCCAAATAAAAAGGAAGCTGGCAGCACAGATCAGAAGAATCAACAACGCAGTGTGGCAATACAAGGTTAGATATCTTTGAGTTCTCTTTTCAAATGTGCATTTATTGAAACGCTTCAACTTAAAAGTAGCTTTTCATTCCTCACACTTTTCACCTTTGCTTTTTTCCATACACAGATTTGTATGCAGACTGGTGAAAACATGAAGACTGTGATTCTCGCTCTCATGGTGTTGGTGGTGGTCAGCTAGGGTGGGTTCAGTGTTCAGGAAACACGAAAAGCCTGCAGTATATTCAATTCAAAGTGCTTTGTTGATGTGAGTGAAGTGTCAAGTAATAATGAGTTAAAAAAGAAAACATATATAGTGTGTACACTATGCTTTTCTCTGTGTATCGAAACCAGTAATGGTTAATGTGTTTACAACTGATTTTACAGCTAAAGGACAATTGTTTATGGCTGTAATAATGCAACATTAATTTGAACACAAATGATTTATTTTCTACCCCAGGTGAAGCGTTGACGTGTCACTGTTCAAGCATCCCTGCGATATGTCCAGGTTCAGTGGAAACCTGCGAGTTAGGTGAAGTCTGTGGCAGCATCGACGTTGGTGTTGGACCCCGTAAGTACAGTATAGGCCACTCATTCTACTGTGTCTAGTGCTCATTCTTAACAAATAAGAAATAACATACTGTATTGAGTTCAGAATCATTACTTTGATTGAAAACTTGTAGAAGTTTACTCATAATTCATGTTGTGTTTTTTCATGTTTTCACAGGTCCCTACCATGTGAGGGAGTGCATGAAAGCAGATGAATGCATGCGTCTGACTAACGCGGGAGGAGCGTATTCATGACGACATGTGCAACTGATGGACTGCCTGCAACACAACTTCCAGTATTAATAATAACCTGCTGTGCACTCAAGCACTCATAATAAAGATCAATCTGTCACAACGTTGCCTTGTCACTATCTCTTTTTCTATTGGTATTTAAAAACAACATGAATCTCATTTCAATTCCAACAAAACTTTGTATTAAAGATCAAATGCCGCATATGTGAAATCCACATTTGAATAGCCTTGAGTATTTTTCAACTATTTGAAGTGGAAAACTTTGCCATGTTGTTATGGTTTGTGTTTATTTTGTATTTTTGGCTTTTTAGCTTACTGAGTTTTACAGGCGAGCATAGGTGTCCAGTCAGAACCGACCAAATACATTTTAAAACACCTTTGTTTTTTACCGAGTGGCTTTAATAATTCTGATTTCATCATTTTCTTGTGTAAATCAATGCAGTTTGTGCTTTCCATGTTGTCAGCAATGTTGGAGGGGCTACACTGGGTTTTAACTGTAGGTTGTACTTGTAAAATATCAATGAATACACAAGATTGAGTATAACAACAACAACCCCCACACACAGATAAAACAGACTGTTTGCATGCATTCAAAGATATTACAGATTAGATCAAAAACACTGAAAAACCTTCAATTAAAATGACATTAAAGTAGTCTCAGTAAAGTTTATAGTGAAATAAATCCACATAATCCAATTGTTTTCCGGCCTGCTGCCAAGACTCTGTCAAACAGCATACAGAGGAGGAGGAAGTGAAGAAAATAATACAAATATTGAATACTTGTTATTTGTTTACTTGGAGAGGTCCCAGGCCACCTCCTGGGCCCTGCCGTGGTGCCCTTGAGCAAGACATCTGACACCCCCACTCCCATAGCTCCCCGGGTGCTGTACAATAGCTGCCCACTGCTCCTAGTACTAGGATGGGTTAAATGCAGAGGCCACATTTCACTGTGTGTGCTGTGTGCTCTGCATGTGTGACCATTAAAGAGGGTTCAGTCCCTCTGATTTTAATAAAGGTATTCTGATTCTGTATGCTCGTTAGGGTCTATTAAAGGTTACCAATATTAGCCATTTTCCAGGTTAAGAGGTATAGAGGTAATGTTTGTGTTTTCACAGGAGGTGACTTTCGGGCTTCTTTGGTCTATTCCTTTATTTCAGCTTTGCATATTGCCCAACGAAAGAACAACATTTCCCTTGGGAAAGTACAACTTGTGCCACACATGTGTCTTTACAATAACAGAGGGAATGTTTGACACTGGATTTCCCTTTAATTGTGCAACAAGCCCAAATAAAAAGAAAGCCTAAGCCTGGCAGCACACATCTGAGGAATCAACACTCGAGGAGGACAGTCGACCCGGTGAGATATCTTAACTTGTTTTGTGTGGATTTGGATTTGGATGCTTCTAGTTAAATGTAACATTTGAATCCTCACACGTTTCACCTTTGCTTTTTTCATATAGAGATTTGTGAACAGACACGTGAAAACTGTATTTATAAAGGTGAAAACATGAAGACTATGATTCTCGCTCTCATGGTGTTGGTGGTGGTCAGCCAGGGTGAGTTCAGTGTTCAGGAGAAAGAAAATAACTTCCTGTCTGTTCAATATATATATACTTTATTGGCGGAGTGTTTTTTAAATGTTTTTTCATTTACTTTTTAGTTGTTTTTCTTACCTTTGATCTTCTTTAACTGTGTTTATCTATGGACAATGTAAATTCCTCGTATGTGTGAATCTACTTGGCAATAACCCTGTTTCTGATTATGATTCTGAATCTAACAAAACAACAAAAATCAAATAACTTTGAACTGTGTTGTCTTTTATTTCCCAGGTGAAGCGTTGAGGTGTCACTGCAGAGGCACCAGAAAGATATGTTCAGGCCGAGTTGAGACTTGCCACGGTTTCAATCAAGTCTGTGGCAGCATTGTTATTCATGCTGAACCCCGTAAGTATAGGCCACTCATTCCAGTGTGTTGTAAACAATAAATAAGAAAATAAATTCCCTGGACCAGTTTAGAGTCGATACTTTCAATGTTTCATTCGTATTTTTATCATGTTTTCACAGAGGAGATCTACTACAAGAGCTGCATGAGTGCAGATAGCTGCAGGCAGATGAGTCACACAGAGGTGTCGTCTGGCTCCTGCTGCAGCCAAGATCTGTGTAACTGATACATGAACGGCATGCGGCGCAACTTCCAGTTATAATAATAATCTGCACTTATGAGCTGTGCATTATTTCCTTAATAAAGATCAACAAGTTGCAGCAATAGTTGTTGTTGTTTTTTTAAATATAGATAACTTTTTTTTCTTTTTCTTATGGAATTTTAACTTTTAGATATTGACGTAATGTTTCAAAACACTTTATACAATTCACAAAACCACACACCCAAAGTGCAAAACACCTCATATTGCAAAATGAAGCACTGCACTCAAAACTACATAAATACAAACAAAACCTTTACACCAAATGCACACACTTCACTTCTAAGACACTTTGTCCAACCAACTACACACTGTGGTGCTTTATCTAAAGCACACTCATCTTTTATATGTAGAGAATTCTGCATAAAAAGATTGTTCAAGTTTACAAACATGTGTGGAGAAACACAAATATACTGTTGTTATACTTTTACTTTTCTCCAAAACAAATTGGTGCAACATTCCTGCACAACACATACTTACAGTTGTGTAAACACAAATGATGCCTCTGTCAAATACAGAAAAGTGAAAGGAAAACTTTGAGGAAAAATAAATACAACAAATATTTTTAGAAAAACAGAGGAGAGAAAAAGACTTAGTCTGCATTTTACCAGCTCACTGGGTCTGACCACATCTCCTCATCCACCTGCAGAAGAAGCATCACCTGTAGCCTGACGGTCAAACAGCTTCAACGGTTATGCTGCAAATAACTCTTCAACTGACTTCAGTTCATCCTCCCTGTCTCTTATCCTCCCTCTACCTCTTCCTCTTGCTGCTGCCCATATATCCATTGTTGTTTTTGTAAATGTCTTACATGAAGCCTGTTTCTAGTGTTGACATCCTGGTTGATGAGTCAACAATAAAGCAGTTTGGTGTTTATGTTCATTTGGCACGTGTATTTCTTGATTGGTTCATGTGTGTAGCATTTTTAATGGCAGTGTTTTGAAAATGGCAGCCAAGTGAATATGTCAGATTTTTGTGTCTTACTTAGAGAACCGTGTGCAGTGTTTTTGCAAAAAGCGCCAAGTTGAATTGCAAATTGGGTGCAGAGCTGAAAATGTGTTCAGAGTTTTGGAGATTTGAGTTGAGGTTTTGCTCTTTGAGTCTGAGTTTAAATAATTATGCTTTATGTGAGATTGTTGTGTGTTAGCAACTGAAATAAACTGTAAGTTCAATGGTATGTAGTCGGGTATGTAGTTTTGGGTGCAGTTAGTCATTCTGCAGGATGTATGAGGTGTTTTGCACTTTGGGTGTGTGGTTTTGTGAATTGTGTAAAGTGTTTTGAGAAAATGAGCAATTAGCAATTGTAAAGTGAGATGATGCTGATATTTCAACTTTGCATACTACCCTACAATGAAATGACAGTGTGCCACATTTCTTGGAAAACTGTTTTAGTTTTTAGTACAACTTGTGCGTTGCATGTGTTTACCGAATTTCAAAGTGAATGATTGACAATGGATTGATTACATTGCTCAACAAGTCCAAATAAAAAGGAAGCTGGCAGCACAGATCAGAGGAATCAGCAACGCAGTGGAGTAATACAAGGTTAGATATCTTTGAGTTCTCTTTTCAAATATGCATTTATTGAAACGCTTCCTGTCGTAGCATTTTATTTCTCAGACTTTTTCACCTTTGCTTTTTTCATATAGAGATATGTGAACAGGCACGTGAAAACCATAGACTGTACATAAAGGTGAAAACATGAGGACTGTGATTCTCGCTCTGATGGTGTTGGTGGGGGTCAGCCAAGGTAAGTTCAGTGTTCAGGAAACAAAGAAAAAACCTTCCTGTCTATTCAATACAATGTGCTTCATTGGCATGATTGTAACAAAGAAAAAGTTGACTTTGATTTTGCCAGAGCTTCATAATGAGAAAAAATAATTATTCAAAAGATCTATGAAATAGCTAAATGCAATTAACCCTTTAACTGTGTTTGACTGTTAACATGTGAATGAATTACACTGATCAGCCATAATATTATGACCACCTGCCTAATATTGTGTAGTTCCTACTTTGCCAAAACAGCCCTGACCCGTCGAGGCATGGACTCCACTAGACCTCTGAGGGTGTATCTGGCACCAGGACGTTAACAGCAGATCCTTTAAGTCCTGTAATTTGCGAGGTGAGTCCTGGATCGGACTTGTTTATCAAGCATATCCCACAGATGCTCGATTGGATTGAGATGAGGGGAATTTGGAGCCCAAGTCAACACCTCAAACTCGTTGTCTTGTTCCTCAAACCCTTTCTGAACCACTTTTGCAGTGTGGCAGGGCGCATTATCCTGCTGAAAGAAGCCACTGCCATTAGGGAATACCGCTTCCATAAAGGGGTGTACTTAGTCTGTAACAATGTTTAGGTGGGTGGTATGTGTCAAATTAACATCGACATGAATGACAGGACCCAAGGTTTCCCAGCAGAATATTGCCCAAATCATCACACTGCCTCCGCCAGCTTGCCTTCTTCCCATAGTGCATCCTGGTACCATGTCTTCCCCAGGAAACTGACATACATACCTGGCCATCCACATGATGTAAAATAAAACGTTATTCATCAGACCAGGCCACCTTTCTCATTGTAGGAGCTTTCGGCGGTAGACAGGGGTCAGAATGGGCACCCTGACCGGTCTGTGGCTACGAAGCCCCATACGTAACAAACTGTGATGCACTGTTTGTTCTGAAACCTTTCTAACAGAACCAGCATTAACTGTTTCAGCAATTTGAGTGTGGGGGCCAGTCTTGGCTCCCCACACGCATCAATGAGCCTTCGCCGCCCATGACCCTGTCGACAGGTTCACCGGTTTTCATTACATGGACCACTTTTGGTCTGCTTCGAACGCATCAACTTTAAAGACAAAGTGTTTACTTGCTTCCTTAAATATCCCACCCACTGACAGGTGCTATTGTAACGAGATAATCCGTTATTCACCTCACCTGCTGTCAGTGGTCATAATGTTATGGCTGATCTGTGTATATCCTCCTCGAAAACAAGCTATTGTTAGGGTTTTTTAAACAGCCTTAGAGCTAAAAGACAATTATTTTGAATCATTAAAAAGGAAGTACTATATAAACTTTCCTTATTTCCCAGGAAAAATATTGGCGTGTAGCTGTGGAGGCACGGCAAAGATGTGTTTAGGCAGGGGGGAAACCTGCGGTTTGAATCAAGTCTGTTCCAGCTTTCTCGTTTTGGTTCAATCCAGTAAGTATAGGCTCATTCTAGTGTGTTGTAAAGGAAAAAAATACATTCCCTGGAACAGTTCAGAGTCAATACTTTCATTGTTTCATTCTGTTTTTTATTCATGTTTTCACAGCTGTCGACTTCTTCATAACCTGCATGAATGCAAAAACCTGCAGGCTTCTGTGTGACACTTCTTAATAAAGATCAATCAATTGCAGCAATTGTTGTTGTTTTTTTATATATAGATAACTTTCTTTTCTTTTTCTTTTTCTTTTTTTCTTTTTCTTTTTCTTTTAACTTTTGGATATTGACATTTATCTGTATTATTTCCCAATTTACGCACTTTAATTACATATATATATATATTGTTTTTGTTGATGTTACAAAATATATATATTTTTGCATATTTTATCATATTTATTTGATTTAAAAATGTAATTATGTAACATAACTTGGATTCAGGTAAAGTGAAAGTACCTGAACATTTGTATTTAGGTAACATTTCAGATATTAAAAATGACTAATAAGAAGTGGTGTAATTACACCGTTCTTTATTAGCCAAAGTCAAGTCATAAATCAAAGTCAACTTTATTGGCCAACTTTCAGTTTATGTGTACAGAGATTAAATATTGTTTCCCACAATCCCAAGGATTAAAAAATACAAATACTGTATATATAAAAAATCACAACAGTCAGATGTGGATGAATCGGCTATATTATAGTAAAACATTTTACATTAGTGCAAAAGACTTTCCATAGCAGCGTAAAAAGTGTTCGGTGCTGGATGTGTGTGTCTGTGTGTGTGGGGGGAATATTAAAGTCCAGGTCCAAAGGAGACAGGGGGGAGAGAGAGAGAGAGAGAGAGAGAGAGAGAGAGAGAGAGAGAGAGAGAGAGAGAGAGAGGTGGGAGGGAGGGGAGAAAGTTCAGCGCCTGGGGAAAGAGCTGTTAAGTCGGGTGGAGCTCGACGAGTGATGTGGTGTTGTTCCTCCAGGAGAGGTCCTCAGTGATGGTCACCCCCAGGAATTTGGTGCTGCTCACTCGCTCCACAGCATCCACTGATTGTCAGTGGGTGGGGTTGTTGGTTGTAGGTTCTCCTGAAGTCGACAACACTCCCCTTTCTTTCCCCCACATTAAGGAAGAGATTGTTATTAATGCACAAGTGGGAGGCCTGATTCTATGAATAACACTTGATGATGGAAGTCAGTGCTACAGGGCGGTAGTCATTAAAGCGGGATGGAGATGACTTCTTCGGCACAGGACAGGTACGATGGTGGTTTCCTTGAAGCACAAGGGAACAACAGCCTGGCTCAGGGAGATGTTGCAGATGTCTGTGAGCTCAGCACTGCAGTCCTTTAGTACCGACCAGGAATGTTGTCAGGCTGAGGCCCATAAGCGTTTCGAGTGTTAATCCTTAACAGTGTGCTCCTCACACTGCCTTTCTTTTTTTTTTACAACTTTTACAACTTATTTTATCAGATTGTTTATGTTTGCACAGCCAGACACCAAATTCAAAAGTGTAATGTGTAATGTGTATGGCAATAAACTTGATTCTGATTCTGATATAAACATGTAATTAAGAGTTCAGTAATGTGTTCTTTGAAAATCGTAGTAAAATTATATTTTTAAACTGTTGTATTAATGTACGTGAAATGTAATATAATCTATACGTTAAGAATTAATTCAATGTTATATTTCATATGTTCAAAATGTGTAATGACGTCGAACAAAGGTGTTTTCAGTAGACAGTATGTTGGCTCTGCCTCTGAGGCCCAATATCCGGCCATCTGATTGGCTGCAAATTGCATCACATGACTGACAAATCCAGGAAGTATTTTGGTTACCCAAGGCGGAAGCGTATATTTTACTGAACCTGAAAGTGTTTTCAAGAAAGAACATTGTTTACTGGGACCAACACGGTTACAACTCACTATTCACAGGGAGGATTGGATGTGTTTACGTTGTTGGTAAGAACGCAAACTTGCTATGTTTGTCATTTGAGTATTTTTTCTTGTTAGCCGAGGTCAGCATGCTAACTGAGCGTTAGCCTCGAAGCTAACTTACAGTTGTTGTTTTTCCATATGGTTATTCGGTCAAAGTTAGGATCAGCAGGCTAATCAGTTTGTTTAGACATTGTTATAGTCGTGTTATTATGTCAAATACATATAAATTATATTTTATTCTAGACTGTGTTTATAAAATTGTGGTGCAAGATAATAAAAGCTGTGTGTCATCTCAGTTATATATTTAAATGAACAGATAACCCTTCAGAGTATCTCACCTTTTAGAAACTGTATCTCCCACATGTGATCTAACTAACGATTACATTATGTCTACAAACGTTATTAGAGTTAGGTGTTTATGTGGTTCCAACCAACATTACACTGTACACTTAATAAAGTACACATGTATGTGTTGTTAACTGGTAAAGTAGAAGATAATCAGATGTAAATAAACACATACAAATTCAAAAAAAGTCAAAATAATTAAAATAAAGGTTGAGTGCCTGTCCTATTTCTATAAACAAACAAATATAACTGTGCTGCAATATAAGACTTATTTTATCATCAATTACTCTGCAAATGATCATGAATGATAAATCCTTTTCTCCCGAATATGTCAGGAAAAAGTGAACAATTTGTTTACAGACTTTCAAAAATGACTTCTTTAAAAACAAGCAAATGTACCATTACCTATCTTCAGTTTCATTTATGATACAGAGCACAGAAAAAACGTCACCTTTGAAAAGTTGGATCATGTTTTGAATTTAAAAAAGTTTAATTAGTTGACAATTTGTGTTATGTTTAAGGTTCCTTTGCAATACATCTGGCCCGACTGGTTATGTATCATTTGTTTTGTGTGTAGTAGTTCTAATAAGTCCTCTGATTTTTATTCTTCAAGGTAGAATAGGTGACCCAACCGCTGCCCGATCCGATCTGGTTCTTCCCACCGCGAGTTTTGGCCTCTGACCCCGCTCACACTCAGTGCTTCCAGACTCAGCGTTAACCTGTAGTTTCAGCCCATCATCCCATAACTGCCCCTTTCTCTGTCAATGGCTGGGCGTGGTGGAGGATCGACCAGGCCAAATGGTGCTGCCGCAGCAAGCAAAATCTGCCAATTCAAACTGGTGCTGCTCGGGGAGTCAGCCGTGGGCAAGTCCAGCTTAGTGCTGCGCTTCGTCAAAGGCCAGTTTCATGAATTCCAGGAAAGCACCATTGGAGGTAGGAGACAAAAAAATACCTATTGACTTTTGAAGAAGGGTTTTTTTTCTTCAAAATGTGTTTTGGCTGTCTCAGTTGACAGATTGTGTGATGAATACCATTGAATGTATGGATGAATGTATCAACTATAGTTCCAATATATTGAGTTCAGAAATGTAAATATAAAGACATTGTCACATCTACCTACGGATATTTTCACACATCCTGTTCCCAATGCCAAAAATGAACTTGAATGCTCAAAAGAAGTGACATGTATCATTAAAAATCCAAAATAAATAATAATTGTGTGAGTTTGAGAGTATTTAAGCCCTTAATTGCTGCGTACATGGACACTAAAACAACGTCATTCCACTGATCTCCATTATCCTGCTCTCCTCAGCCGCCTTCCTCACTCAGACCGTCTGTCTGGACGACACCACTGTGAAGTTTGAGATCTGGGACACAGCCGGTCAGGAGCGCTACCACAGTCTGGCTCCAATGTATTACAGAGGCGCGCAGGCAGCCATCGTGGTCTACGACATCACCAACACAGTAGGTTTCCCCTGCAGGGAAACCACGCCATGATACACTCAGACGAGTTGTTGCTCTAGCAGTAGTGTTTTAGTTTTACTTCACTTAAGTGTCCTATAGGGCTGCCACTAAAGAGATATGTTCAGTATCGACGAATCTGCCAATTCTTTTCTGATTATTTTGTTTGGTCAATTTATGTCTACAAATTTGAATAATGATCACTGTTTGGGAAATCTTAGGTCATATCTTTTTAAATAGTCTTATTGTGTCAGTCTAAAACCCAAAGTTATTTAGTTACCACAAATTATAACAGTAAAGCAGCTAATTTAATTTTCTTTATGATGCTAACAAAAGCATTTTCTGCCATTAAATGTTTATAATATTTTTTGTTTCTTAATTGTTTTCCTATTCCTCGCTATTGTTACCAAAAGTGGCACCAGTTGAGGCAAAACTATGAATATATTCAGAAGTCATTGAACATGTTGTAATATTTTAGGAGATGTCATGTAATTGTATGGCAGCTGTGTTGAAGGGTAGAGCAGCCTAGGTTCTGAGTTTACAATGACATTTCACCTAGTCTAAAATTACACTGTAGGTGTTCATACATGAAGGTGTTTTGACGTCACAGTGACAATACACATATGTTCCACTCGGCCTAAATATAGTTATCCTGTGTGAACATATTCATCGATATTAATACACTTTGTTGATCAACTAGGATACATTTACAAGAGCAAAGAACTGGGTGAAGGAGCTGCAGAGACAAGCCAGCCCCAACATAGTGATCGCTCTGGCTGGAAACAAGGCCGACATTGCAAACAAGAGAGCCGTAGACCTTCAGGTATGACAAAGTACAGCACAATGAGTTCACACATTCAAAGCCTGAGTCTTAATTTATTTAATTTTAAAATTGTAATAAACTTTCCAGTGCTGTAAATGTTTATCTGTGTCCCTTAATATCTAAATGATGTGCTTAGGAGGCTCAAACATACGCTGAGGACAACAGTCTGCTGTTCATGGAGACCTCGGCTAAGACTGCCATGAACGTCAATGAAATTTTCATGGCTATTGGTAAGTTCAATTACACACATTTCAAAACAAGATAACTGACACTTACTTTGACTGACCTCACATGAATTAGATAGGTACTTAATTGATTTTTGGCAATTTTTTGATTGAGACTGACACTGGCTGTCAGATCGGCACATCCCTATTGGGACAAAAGCAGATATATGTCCACATTACTTAATCGGAAATCAAAATAAACATTTAATCACCTTTTTAAATACAAGCGGTTCTCTCAAATAAGAGCTGTTTGTGTCCAAGAGGGATTTTAGGTGAAGACAAACTTAGAGCTTGTAAGTGTGAAGATTATTTTGTAATGCTGCAATTTACCAGAACTCTTTTCAAACATCCATTGTCCTGTCCCTGCAGCAAAGAAGCTCCCGAAGAGCGACCCCCAGGGAGCTGGAGCGGGGGGGCGGACCAGGACAGGAGTGGATCTACAGGAGGCTGCGCCTCAGAGCCGCAGCAGCCAGTGCTGCGGGGGGGGCAACAGTGGCAATTAGCAAGGAGAAAACCATGAACTTAGTGAGCGAGCACTGAACATCGTTTTAAGGACAGCACGTAGCTAAAATCCCAGAGAGGCAGGAGAGGGCAGAGCCACTCGCCGCCCTGCACTTAAACTGAGATTACAGATGAGATTATCTGGATCCTCTTTGATTAAAGGAACATTTTTTTTAAAGAATCATAAGCTAGAGGGAATTACCAAGACCCCTCACTACTTCTCTGTCTCTCCCCCGTGTTACTATCTACCTCCCTGTTCCTCTTCGGCCTCCCCCTCCTTTGATTGAATTCTGTCTTAAAATATTATTATTTTTGAAGAGTGATGCTGAGGTTGTTTGCCATTTTCTGTGTGTGTGTGTGTGTGTGTGTGTGTGTGTGTGTGTGTGTGTGTGTGTGTGTGTGTGTGTGTGTGTGTGTGTGTGTGTGTGTGTGTCATGTATATTGGCAGTTTACTTTTCTAATCATCCCTCTATATTGATCATTACAATTAAAGATAAAAATACCCACCTACTAATGCGGAAATATGCATACGACAGAGCAATTAATCTTTTAAGGTTTTTGTCTTATTGCAATTTAGAGAACAGCATTCTGTTCTTCCTAGGGACCTGGACATGACTCAGTTATAAGGAAAGCTCTAGACTTTGCTTCTCGAAGCAGGTTGTGATTTAATAGGCTACACTTCTGAAGATGTTTCTGAACTGTGCAACAAATGCAGTTGTTTGCATTCATTGTGTTTGGATACCTGTAACACCCAAGAGTTGTTAGCCTTTTTTAAAAGAAATGTAAAAATAACGTGTAAATCAAAAAAAAAAGTAATAAATAACATGGAAGATTTGTTTTGTTTTTAATTGTTTTCCAATGGTATGGTCAGTCATTGGAGGATGATCATTTGATTTGGACGAGTGTTCTTTATTAGCAGGAGGGTTCAAACTACTCTGGTCTGGTTTAGGGTTTTCTAAACAGGGTTTTTAGATTTCTAAGATACAGTCTTCTTCATCTTTACATCCAGGACTATATATTTGTGTTTACCCTTTCTCTTATACTGGTATCATTTCACACATACATAGTGATAGATATATATCACTCACATATGAGAGATATGTCTCTTTTATCCAGTATCTTACAAATGTATGAATCTTGCCCTGTATTATGCTATTGGAAACACATTTTTTAGATGATGGGAATTCTGAAATGCCCCTTTGTGCAGTGAGTGCCAAAAATAATCAGATAGCATTCCTGCTATCAGTAAACCTTTCCAACCACTAGATGGCAGCATCACACTTTAATCTAAAGTCGCAAATGCGTCCTTTACAAGGCATGTGTGACAATGAATGTATCATGTCCTTATGAGTAACTAAACCCATTCAATTGGTATATAATTGCTCTTGGTCTTCAATCTTTAATTCTTCAATTATTGATATTGAACTCAACATTAAAGTTATATTTTGTGCAAAATTGTCAATTCAATAGCCTGAAAGTCTGCCAATCTGTGTGAAAAGTGGACGATATGTACACTGGATAGGGTAATGTTGTGAATCGAGTGGCCTGTGTTCATCGTCCATAACATACGCCTGCCCATACCATAACCCCACCACCACCATGGGCCACTCGATTCACAACATTACCCTAATCCTAACCCTCACACCAGATACTGACTGGTTTTCGGACCCCCCCAGACCCCCCCAATAAAGCAAAAATGCACGTTTCAGAGTGGCCTTTTATTGTGGCCAGCCTAAGGCACACCTGTGCAATAATCATGCTGTCTAATCAGCATCTTGATATGCCACACCTGTGAGGTGGGATGGATTATCTCAGCAAAGGAGAAGTGCTCACTATCACAGATTTTTTCAGATTTCGTGAACAATATTTGAGAGAAATGGTTATTTTGTGTATGTAGAAAATGTTTTAGATCTTTGAGTTCATCTCATGAAAAATGGGAGCAAAAACAAAAGTGTTGCGTTTATATTTTTGTTCTTTGTACATTACTAGGCCAAAAGCTATTAGTGGCAAAGTTAGAAAAATATGTCTTGCAGAGGATCGGACCAGAAGGGGTTTGCTTCTTTTAGGGCAGCCTGATTATTTTGGAGCTCATTTTAAAGAAGGGTTTTGTTTAATGAAGCAGTACACTCTGCTTTAATGAACGGTACCTTTTTAATAGAGGTCTGAAGGCTTTGAGCTTTAAGAATATTTGTTTAAGAAACTGTAAATGGCATTCATGCAAAGAAGGTTTTCTAGAAATGTAATAATTGCATCAGCCTGAGCAGTAATAGCAGTGAGATAGGAGCCATGCTTCTGTATCACACATTTAAAAAAGATTTTTCAGGAAATCTAACAAGAGAACATGTCTTACACACCAAAGGACCTTTAAAGTGTCCCTTTATAAAACCTTTATTTGGATAATAACCTTGTCTTGATGCTTTACTTTAAATGTGAATTCGACATACAGAATACACCCAACAAACACATTTAAACAAAATGTCAAATATGAGATTTATTTTTGAATGGTAATATAATGAGTACACTAATTGCTGTTTAGCAAAAATACAAAATAAACTAATGAAGAATTATGTACAATGCAGTGGATTCAAGTATTGTCTGTTGTTCTGACCCTCCATGTAAAACATATCCTTTTTTTTACAACAGTGTCAGCTGACAGCCTTGCTATTGTGGCTTTGATGCCTCAAACCTAAAATGCAATCAATTTGTAATGCAATTCACACACACACACACACACACACACACACACACACACACACACACACACACACACACACACAAACACACACACGGAGGCACACTCGCCTCAGAAAAAGGCAGCGGTCGGCCGCTCTTTTCACAGTAAATGATTTCTCATTTGTTGAACTGTCAGTCAAGATGTGTTCTGTCAGAAAAGAAACTCATTTCATACTTGGCCTCTGTGAATCATAATGCTGTGAGAGCTGGACTGAAATTGACTGCGTTTAGAGGAAGAGATTTGCAGAATAAAGGAAATGTGCCGTGAAAACAAATGCAGCCGGTTAAGCTTTTACATTATTTCTACTCATATTGGTTCAAGAAATGAGACAGGTTAAATAGCCAAAACCTAGATTTATTGTGTTTTAATAACAATAAGGATTTCAGCATTGGTTTTGTGATCTTGAGCCACCAATGGGGCAATTTTAGGGCAGTACAAAAGACAGAAAAACAGACTCAGTCAAATTCTCGCTCTGATAGATTCCTTCTATCTGCCTGGACAGAAAGAAATGTCATTAAATACCAAGGGCACAGAGACACGGTATCTGGATTGCATTCTGTAGTTAGAGATTCCTGATAGCGATAGTATATGTGATGCGGTACAATAATTGTCTCTTATCTAAAATGAAACATCTAACAATGTTGCCACCGGGTAGGAACATCATGAAGCAGGTAGCAGGAAACAGAATAAAGCACAATCGACAGTCGTTGAATGGAAAGCAAATGTTATGTTGAATCAGATTTTGCTCATGCTATATGTTTTATTGAATATTCACACTTTGGCAACTGATTACTAAAAGCCAAGTAAAGAATGAATTCAACTTTTTTTATTTACCCATTCACTTCTTGCAGGGAGTGAAATAAGAACATATAATCCCATATCAGCAAATATAAATCCTCTGTGACCATTTCACATAAAAAAAAATAACATTTATGTTTGCGTTTCCTTTCTTTAATCACTTTTTTTTCAAGGCATCACCACCCTCCCAAGCATAGTTCTGTTTCTGAGTAAACACAAGTGGACCTTAGTGGCATTGGCCCTCAAGGACAGAGGGGGCGATAGAACAAAATGCACACTCAGCACATCTCACCCACAATCATTTGAATCCGTTTTTAAAGGTGTCATCATTTATTCTCAATTCTTAGGATCAGCATTTTATTGTCACATGTTTCTGTCTAACCTTACATTTACAAACGGCTAAGTGTTGACAATGTTTGACTCAATCAATACCAAGAAGTTACTTATGTTCTATGATGAATAAAAGGTCTAAATGCTACTCCGCTGTAGTGGAGTAGTAACTGTTTGTCACATTAAGCCTGAAGCTTATTGTAGTCATGCAGATACTCTTAAAGGGGCCCTATTATGCTTTTGGGGCTTTCTCTGTCCTGTAATGTGTTATAAAGGTTTTTGTGCAGGTAAGTTGTCTGCAATGCTATAGAGTTACTCTCCCACCACACAGGGGGGGGGGGGGCCTGCCTGAAACGCCTCGATTGTAGTCCTTTGTTTACTTTTGCGCCATATTGACATCACTATGTAACACTTGCGTTTCTATTAGCTAGCACTCCAACACATTGTACTGTATGTTAGCTAACCAATCAGAGCAGATTCGGCTCTGGTTTCAGAGGGTGAAAAGAGGTGATGCAGCACAGCCAGTATGTGACAAGTAAAGCTTTTTTGAACATTAAAGCATGTAAACATTTCACAGTAGAGGCAAAAAATACATTACATTACATGTCATTAGACGCTTTTATCCAAAGCGACTTACATACATTCAGTACTGTGGAAAATCCCCAGGAGCAATTTGGGGTGAAGTGTCTTGCCCAGGAACACAACGAAATGCTGACTGCAGTGGGACTCGAACTTGCTATCCTCTGATTTGAAGTCTAGCACACTATCCACTGAGCCACAGCCTCCCAAATATAAATATGAAACCTGAATATGAGCATAATAGGGCCCCTTTAACCGAGGAGGGTGACACTGTTTAAAACTGTGAACGTCCATCATCATGGGTGCAGCATCCTCTCCTCCAGATTCTCACTCTTTAAATGAACTACTCTTATCCTTCAAAGTGCCATCTTAATCAAACTTTGAAGATGGAAAACGTTGCCATAGTGACCAGGTTAAACTGAAGGGTACGGCAGGTTTCTTACTAATTCTGGGACCAGAGGAATAGAAATGTCCTATAATGAAAGCACTCAAGATAATGACGGAGCCGAGCATTGGTATTCACTTTGATGCCTGATTGGACTACGGCTTCATGGAAATATGGAAACAAAATACAACATATAAAGCCATTCGTTTCAAATGTTGCTTTTATTGTGAAGCATTATTTTCAAATGTAACAAAACACGGTATTGCCATGCATTTTCTTTTTATATACATAGTGTGACAAGAAAAATAAAATGGTTTATAATAAATTCATTCATCTAAAAACAAAGTTATAATAATAATAATAGAGCGGCAACAATTATTGTACTTATTGATGAGTTGATTACCAGAAAAATTAAGTATTTTGATGATCAAGCAGTCATTTGAGTAATTCATGAGGCAAACATTATAGAAAATGCTTGCTTTTCAGCCCTGAGAATATGGATATTTCCTACTTTTCTCTGTTTTATATCATATTAAGGTGGTATCTTTGGGGTTGGAAGACAATTAAAGACATTACTTTGTACTGATATGGATAAAAAACTCAATAGATTAATCTATGATAGAATTAGCAGATCGATAATGACAATAATTGATTGTTTCAGCCCTTAATAATAATATCACCTGTGTAACTTCACGTACAAAATGTTATTCATACGTAACAAAAAAACACAAAACATCTAACACAAAACCATCACACCCCATACCAACAGGAGACGCTGCTGTTGTGTGCTAGATGTGTCCGCATGTTTTCTTTGTATCCACAAACACAAGCAGGGACGTCACTCCATGTTGAGCTATGATATCTTACACCGTTGTCTCTGGTCACACAAGCCCGTGCACCTTTTATTTTTAGGGCGTCTGCCTTGTGGCGGGGTCAAGCAGGGAGCAAAAGGACTTCAGTGAGAAGGACATAGCTCAAACTCCAAGTATGTTTCCACCGAGATCTATCA